TTGCTTGATAACATCACTGTTTGGAGTTCGGATGCGCATCATAATATCACTCGGGCTACGCCCTCATGATATAATTTGTTGCAACCGAACTCCAAACAGTATTGTTATTGAGCAATTTCTCTATCAGTTTCTCTACTTGTTAAAGGGTTGGTAAGCGAACAGCATGGATCCTGATCAGACTGCGCGGATGCGCAGGCTGGTCTGGATCCATGCTGGACGCAAACCCACTATGTTGGTTTTGTCATGACGCGGCTCATATATACTTTTATGCAAGAATATCAACAATGCACCTTTTTTGTGCACCTACATCTGCAGAAGCCCTAAGGCATTTAAAATCCCTCACCTGCTTTAAATGCCTCCTCGTGTTCCTGCAGATGTTAATACAGATAAAAGGTGCATTAACCTTACAAACAATAAAACTAATGTATTAGAAATATTCTGTTTGGTCTCAAAATATCAATCATTACAACTAGAGGGAAAAAATATTACAGTTTTCTGGATTGGAAAGACAAATGAGACTTGTCCATGCTACCATTATATAGCCAGGCCAGCCAATAGTTAGCTATTGAAGTTTTATTTAGATGATCAATTCCTTGACAGAAAAAAATTATAGACATCATGGTCCTTCAATTGTAATTATAAAGAATTTGAAAGAGAATACCATTAGAAGCTGTATAAATGATGTGTATTATAAGTTGCACATAATAACTTCAAGAAATACAAAAAGTAAATCTGTTACAGCTGTCCAAATTTGTTAAATAAAACTGCCAAAAAATGCTCAACTTCTGTGCAAAAATCAAATCCCCAGCTTATAAGATTATCAATTATAAATTACAATAAACAAGAGTCCCGTTTGAACTGGATGATGATCCCTGAATAGGTTTTTGACACAGGAATTAAAACCTCTTGTAGTTTCAGAGTTATATCCCTGGACAAAGTTTAAAGTGCGATAATACCAGAATTAGGCAAGGCAGAGTAACTGTTCTTTGCACTAGACTCTAATAAATAAGATCTATCTACCAACAAAGATTCTTGTTGATACATCTTATGGTTTCTGAGTAATGTCCGGAAAAAGTTTTAAATGCAACAAGAGCCACCGCTGGGCGGGGGCAACGCTCGACTTTTTACTTTCTCTAAAAGCAAACAAAGAAATGTTTGAACAAAATATGAACATTTTGTTTTTTTTATAAAATTCTGTTTTGTCACATTAGTTTTGTCTATATATTTTATTATTATATAGATTTACTAATTTATATATATATAAATATAGACACCCAATTCTAAGTCACATGGTGGTGTCATGTGGTGAAGTCTCGTGGTGGTGTCACGTGGTGGAGTCATGTGGTGGAGTCACGTGGTGGAGTCAAGTAGTGGAGTCACGACGTAAAGTCACATGGCGGACTCACGTGGTGGTGTCACATGGTAGTCACATGATGGTGTCCAGTGGTGGAGTCCAGTGGTGGAGTCACTTGGTGTAGTCACGTGGTGATGTCACGTGGTGGAGTCATGTGGTGAAGTCATGTGGTGGAGTCATGTGGTGGAGTCACGTGGTGGAGTCATGTGGTGGAGTTACGTGGTGGAGTTACGTGGTGGAGTCACGTGGTGGTGTCCCGTGGTGGTGTCCCGTAGTGGAGTCACGTGGTGTAGTCACGTGGTGTAGTCAGGTGGTGTAGTCAGGTGGTGGAGTCACGTGGTGTAGTCAGAAGGTGGAGTCACATGATGAAGTCACATGGTGGTGTCATGTGGAAGTCATGTGGTAGTCACGTGGTGGTAGTCACGTGGTGGTAGTCACGTGGTGGTAGTCACGTGGTGGAATCACGTGGTGGAGACACGTGCTGGAGTCACGTGGTTGAGTCACATGGTGGTGTCAGGTGTTGGAGTCACATTGTAGAGTCACGTGGTGGAGTCACGTTGTGGTGTCACGTGGTGTGGTCCAGTCACGTGGTGGAGTCACGTGGTGAAGTCACGATAAACAACAAGGTCTTGTCTTTAAGTATGTTCTGTTATAATATGAAGTTGATCCCTTCAATAATAGCAAAATTACAGCCAGTTACAGCCAAAACAAAGTCAAGGTCATTCATGAGTGAAGGTCAAGGTCTGTCGGTTTAATTTTAAGGGTTATCCGTGAAGATTACTATGTTCAAGTTTGAAGACAATCCATTCAAAAATAACAAAGTTACAGCCAATAATAGCCAAAAACATGAAAATTTCAATAATTTGACCTTCAAAAGTCAAGGTCATTTATGAGTGAAGGTCAAGGTTTGTTGGGTTATTTTTAAGAGTTATCCTTAAAGATTATTATGTTCAAGTTTGAAGACAATCCATTCAAAAATAACAAAGTTACAGCTAATAATAGCCAAAAACATGAAAATTTCAATAATTTGACGTTCAAAGTCAAGGTCATTTATGAGTGAAGGTCAAGGTCAGTCATATTTTGAAGGCATATCCCTGAAGATAATTATGTTCAAATTTGAAGACAATCCATTCAAAAATAACAAAGTTACAGCCAATAATAGCCAAAACATGAAAATTTCAATAATTTGACCTTCAAAGTCAAGGTCATTTATGAGTGAAAGTCAAGGTCTGGCTGGTTATTTTTAAGGGATATCCTTGAAGATTATTATGTTCAAGTTTGAAGACAATCAATTCAAAAATAACAAAGTTACAGCCAATAACAGCATGAACAAGCAAAATTTGGACTTTTAACCTTGAAGGTCAAGGTCATTTATGGATGAAGGTCAAGGTTAGTGTGGTCTACTGAAAGGTCTTGTCCAAAGGGTTGTTGTGGTTGTTGTATGAAGACAATACACCAAGAAATAAAAAAGTTATGATCCAGGTACAAGTTTGCGGACGGCAACGGCTACGGCAACGGCAACGCCGACCTGACTATAACAATACCTCTACTTTTTTTTTCAAAAAAAAAAAAAATCGAGCTAAAAATGAACAAAGGACAATTTCTCCAAAAAAGCCAAGGAAGAGTTATGCTTCTTGTGCACTGCACATCTACTTATTAATATCTATCAACCTACAAAGTTTCATGTTGATATCTCTTATAGTTTTAGAGTTAGGTTCCTGACAAGATTTTTCAAAAAGGGGAGATTATTCATAGAATTATAGTTTCAGCCTTAATGCTCTCTACCACTGTGTGAAGTTTAAACAAATTATCTCCAAGGGTTTTCAAGTTATGCTCCAAACAAGACAACAGATGGACAGACATTCCAATTAAATGGACTAAGGGGCCAGTTCTTTTGTTATTTTCTTTTGTTTAATAGAGGGCCATGGCTTCTTACTTTATTGTTACATAATGAACTTCATTATTCTCTTTTGTTCTCTTTACAGTAACATGGTCCCCTACTTCTCTTAAATAGCACAGACAGACAGCAGGACAGACAGATATAAAGACGGACAAGGCGGCGACTATATGCTCTCCCCTCTGGAAGCATAAAAACAACTGAAAATGCATTATTAATGGTAAGGGTTGAGCATTTCGCATCAAAATAAAACACCGGGATAAACAATTCCTATCCCATTATCACTCAACAAATCTACCCTACTAAGAGAAAAATAAAGATAAAAATTCCCAAAAGAGTCCATTATGCCCAAGAAATGATTTTTTTATTTTTTATTTATTCAAAAGTTTTTTTACACTAATATTTCCAAAATGTTACCCAATTAATGCCCAATTACCTGAACATTTTTTCTGATGCTTTTTTGACAATAAGTGGTTATAGTGATTCAGTATTTTGTATGGAAGTCAAAATACTACTTTATATTTTGTTCATTTTATGACAAATGCGCAATTTTCTTCAGGTAACAAATATCAAACATACTCTTAAACTATTAATTCATGTTTGCTCATTTCTTAAGGTAAATATAAATTATTCGCTTCTTAATCATAATTTGACTTTTAAACAAAGACAAATCACAAACCTTTGCAGCTGAAGTTCTGTACAAGAGAAGTTCAAAATCGCTGTCCAAATAAAACATCATCTGAAAAGATTTCAAAATTAAATCACTAGTTAAACTATAACATCTTCGGCATACTGGTTATTCTAAACTCATGTCTTAATCCTGCAAAACAGATCAGATGAACAGAGCAATTATAATGTACGGCTCCTCATAAAAATCATGCTGTCCATTCAAATGGCATTACACCGAGACTGAATAAACTGAAAGTATACAGATATGGTTGACAAGAATTTTTATTGTTTGTTTGATTGGGTAATATGCCACACTGACAGAATATTGGTCATATGGCAATGTACTGGTTAAGGAAGACCTAAGGTGCCCATCCACATGTTATTTCAGTCACAACCAGGCACCTGAGTAACACAACTAACATTCTGTAAACTAGCTAGATAGCTGCCTCAAGATTCCCAAGCCCTTGTTGGGATAGAAACCCACAGTAGTGAGGGGTAAGTGGTTTAAGTCAATGAACTGAAGCACTCGGCCATGGATGCCTCCATAGGCTTTTATAACTTAGAGGGCCAAGATGGCCCTAGATCACTCATCTAACCCATCAAACTCATCCGAACAATTATCTAGACAAGCATCCTGACCAAGTTTCATGACAGGTGAGTCAACAAGAACTGTCGGAGGACAGTAACGCTCGACTATTCGAAAAGTTGTCACAAGATTTCATACCATTGACCCATTAATGTCGAAAATTTAATTCAGTGGGTAGACAGGAAGTGGATTAGCTACACGCCTAAAATCAAATCCCACTGTATGGGACCATGTGTCAATGCTGTATGCAAAATATCAAGAGGCTGTGATTAGTAGTTTCTGAGAAAAATGTTACGAAAATTTCCTACCATTGACCATTAATGTGAACAGGAAGTGGATGACCAACAGACTTGAAATCAAATCCCAGAGTATGGGACCATGTGTCAATGCTGCATGCCAAATATCAAGAGGCTGTGATAAGTAGTTGCTGAGAAAACTGTTACGAAAATTTCCTACCATTGACCATTAATGTCAAAAAAATTGAAAATTTGTTTTCAAATTTAAGTTTTATGAGTAAATAATACTTACCCGACAGTACCATATGGATTCCTTCCGTTAATTTCTCACAATTCGCTAAACTATTAACACCGGAAGTAAGCTCTTCAATTAACTCCCCTTACTTCCGCCACGTGTTAAAGATGTCAGTTTCAAATGAGGCGACCAAATCGCCCTGAAACTTAAACAGAGAGGGGTAGGTTAGGGTGGGTAGTGTACTGTCGGGTAAGTATTATTTACTCATAAAACTTAAATTTGAAAACAAATTTTCAATTTTCATTTCGTAAATAAACTTACCCGACAGTACCATATGGATTAACCCAGATTAAAAAGCAGTACTGAAAGGAGGTGGGTAGTTAAGTTTCAAAAATATCTATTACATTCATTAATAAAACATAAACTTGTTTTAATATCAATGAAAAATAGACACATTAAACACTTACCTAAAGTGTTTCCCAATATTTCCACACCATGTTAAGTAAAACAATACCAGTTGAACATGTATAACTGCTAACCCACTATTTACAGTTGCACAACAATATATATAAGTTCATCCCAACTGTACAAGAATAACCGTAAATACTCAAATTTACAAAAAAACATCCAGTCGCAATTCGCCGGAAAAACAAAGAGTTTGTACACACCACCTTGGTGAAAAACAATAACTTCTGTAACAACATTTACTTGAAATCCAAAACACTTGTATCTACGTTTTTGAGATAATGTTTAATGAAGGTGGTCTCTGAAGACCAATCTGCCGCATCCAGTACCTGATCCAACGACGCACCTTTGAAACAATGCCCAGGAAGGCCCAATACTTCTAGTCTGGTGACCTTTAATTTTTCCAGTAGATTTCTTACTCATTTTGTAAGCATACTTAATAATATTAACTAACCATTTAGAAATAGTCTGACTTGTCACTGGATGATGAGGTTTAATAACACTTAAGAAAAGTTTAAGTTCATTTTTAGAGTCTTTAACTCTAAAAACTTTCAGTCTTTTTCAAGTAATAAGTCAAAGCCCTCTTAGGGTCTAAAAATTTTTCCCTCGAAAAAGATGGAATGAAAATCTTTCTTGAATGATGACTTGGTCTATCTTGTTTTGCTAAACCTGAACGTATAAAAGTTATTCCTTTCTTCTGAATGTTTATGTTACCTTCTCCCAAATACAAGGCTTGAAGATCACTACAACGACGAAAACAGGAAATAGCTATCAAAAAACACACCTTCCATGTAATAAACTTCAAAGATGCGTCCTTCATCGGTTCAAATGGTGGCTTCTTCAGGCATTCTAAAACAAGAGGTAAATCCCATTCAGGAACTAATTTTCTAATAGGTGGACGTTCATTAAAAATGCCTCTAAGAAGGCGAATAATAAAGGGGTGTTGACCAATCTGAAATTTTTTCCACAGGAGGTAAAATTGATGATAGCATAGACGATAACCTGTAATAGTCTTATATTTTAACCCTTGGTCATAAAAGGTAAGTCAAAAATTCAGCACAATCATTCAAAGAAGCTGAAAACGTATCAATCTGTTGTCTACAACACCAATTACTGAATTTTCTGAATTTGCAATTATAATCTCTTCTTGTACCTTTTCGCCATGAGGCGACAAGTAAATTTCTTGTTCTTTCAGAAAATCCCTTTGATCTGAAGACTTTGTCGATAGAAGCCATGCAGTCAACTTTAGACTCTGAGGATTTTGATGAAATATTCTCCCCTTGCATTGTGACAATAGATTCTGTGACACAGGGAGTTTTATTGGTTTTGCTATCAACAATTTCAACAGCTGTGGAAACCAGTGCTGTCTTGGCCAATTTGGGGCTATCAAAATCAGTCTGCACTTGAATAATTTCATATGGTTCAATACTTTCGGAATTAGCTGTATTGGCGGGAACGCATATGCATACATGTTCTGCCATGCAATAGACAGGGCATCCAATGCAAACGCTTGGGGTTGTGGAAGCCATGAGCAAAACAGTGTTGTCTGTTTGTTCTCTTGAGTTGCAAAGAGATCTATCAGAGGTTGACCCCAAATATTGAAAATTTGAGACGTCACTGTTTTTGTTCAGACTCCATTCTGTATCCCTCACTTCCTGTCTGCTCAGAAAAATCTGCCAGAAAATTCAATTTCCCCATTATGTGAACTGCTTTCAACACAATATTGTGATTCAATGCCAGTTCCCATAACTCCCAAGTTAACAGACAAAGTGTAGGGCAACGAGTGCCCCCCTGGCGATTTATATACTGACACACTGACGTGTTGTCCGACCGTATCAATACATTCTTGTTTTTCAGAGCAGACAGAAAGTGGCGGACTGTCAGAATTACCGCCTTCATTTCTAAAATGTTTATGTGTAGTAATTTTTCCATCTTTGACCAACGGCCTTGCACTGTAAAGTTGTTCATGTGACCGCCCAGCCCCAAGTCCCACTCGCATCGGTGGTGACAGATACTGGAAAGGAAATCTGTTGAACAGATCTTCCCTTTAGAATGTTCTGATCCTGTAACCACCAATGGAGATGATATCGTAGCATAGGAGTAAAGGGTATATTGAAACTTAAAGGCATTCTTGCCGGACTCCAAGTCTTGAGCAAATGAAGCTGTATGGGTCTCATGAACAACTTTGCATTTGGAATTAAGTCTAGACAAGAGGCTATCATACCCAACACAATCATATATTGTTTTGCTGAAATCGAGCCTTGTAACAATTTTAGAACTGCATGTTTCAGGTTTGTAATTCTCTCTTGTGTTGGATAAACTAACCCCTTTGTCATATCGAATAGGCCGCCTATGTAAGTGAAAATCTGAGAAGGAACTAAAGAGGATTTTTTCTTGTTTACTATTAACCCTAGTTGAAAAAGGAGATCTAGAATAATCTTTCGATCTGACATCATCTTTGAAAATGTCCGATTGGCAGCTAACCAATCGTCCAGATAAGATGTTTTAGAAAAAAGACCTTGTTGTCTGAGATGTGCTACTATGACGGACATTATTTTGCAAAACACCCTTGGAGCTGATGTTGGGCCGAAGCATAGCACTCGAAATTGGTACACCTGACCTTTGAAAACAGAAACGAAGATATTTTCTGTGACCCTTGAACATTTTTACATGAAAAATAACCGTCTTTCAGGTCCAGATTTATTGCATAATCTCCTTTTTGAACTAGGTTTAGAACTTTTGGCATAATATCCATTTTGAAGTGAGTTTTCCTCAAATACCGGTTCAATGGCTTTAAATTTATTACAGGTCTCATTTCCCCATTTTTCTTTGGAACTAGGAACAACGTACTGTAAAAACCTGTAAGAATCTGAGATTTGTCTACTATTTCTATAGCGTTTTTCAATAAAAGTTCTTCTATTTCTTTTTGAATTAAATTTTCTTGATCGAAAGGTACTTTCATCTGTTTTATTCCCAAGAAAAGTGGAATTTTTAGAAATTCTAGTTTGTAGCCATTCTGAACTACATCTAGAACCCATTTGTCTGTTGTTATTTTCTTCCAATTTTCTACAAAGAGTGAAATTCGACCACCTACCGGAATTTGAGGAAAACGTGATAGAGTACTTACATGGTCATTGTTGAGTTGATCTTCCCATTTTCCTTCCATATGAACGTTTTGGAAAGAAATCGGGCTTGGAATTTTTCTTGTACTGTCCAGTGAAATTTTGCCCCTTGGTATGACTATCTGATGGAATCTTGGGGATACGAAAATTATTGTCCCAGCCACTGCTTGTTTGCGTTGCTGGAATGTCCCTACGTAAACGTTTAGTGTCATTTGAAGAACGAACAGGTGAGAGCCTTCTTTTCCTGTCTCTCTTTTTCAGCTCAGGTAACATATCATCTAACTGTTTCTTTTTGTCCTTCCGTGCCTTTAATAAAGGTTCAAGTCCATTACCAAAAACACCATCCCCAGTTAAAGGTAAAGTAGCAAAATCTTTGTAATCAGAAAGATCATACATGCCTGTATCTGCCATAGTTACTGTACGACGTACAATGTGATGAAAAGCTGCGGAGCGACGACCCAATTGATCAAGGCACTTCGTGGACATAGCAAAAATGTCTTTAACAAATTTCACTGTTTTGTGTCTTTTGAAAAGTCATCAGAAGAAACAAATTCAACCAAATTTCCCAAAGCTTGTTGCATATAAAGTTGCATAACAATACCTAAACGAGCTGCTTGGGCTCCACGGTAAGAAACTTTTCTACAGTTTTATGTGGTTGAGAAAAATAAGCATTTAACCTGACTGTTCTTAAAAGCCGCTTTACTGCCATGTCTGTTAACAAGTAAACTTTCTATCAAAGGATCAAGTGTAGGAACTTGCAAAAATTTTTCCGTTTCTTCATCCACCGGAAATAAATCAAAATTTTCTTCATTAAACGCAGAGAGAAAATTAGGAGAAGTTGAATGTAGACTGTCATTCAAGACGTCTTTCTGAGAATTGTCCACAGAAATACCTTCCTTCTTGGTGGACTTCTTCACTGTAGCATCTTCACCAAAAATGTCAAAAGACATTTCTTAGTTGAATCAGAAAAGTTCTTTTTCATCGACTTTCCCCTTAATAGAAACATTGTCTTCATCTGACAAAAAATTATCTCCATGAATAGACAAAAATATCACTGTTCAAGCCAGGATGATTAGAATCTGAATCACTGTCCGACAGAGAATCTGAGCCCGACTCGAACTTAGAACGATGCACACTGTTCTTTTTTCTTCACGTGTCTTTCCGTAAATTTAGACGAAGAAGAGTTACACTGAGATTGAGCAGATTGGATTTTGGCAACTAATCCATCCAATTTACCCGAAATACTCGACTCCAGAGCTGAGAATTTTTGATTCCATTGTTCTTCTAGAACATCGTATCTGGAACGTCTTTTAAGTGGAGTTTTCGGCGTATTAGTACCCGACTCCGAGTCCGAAGGAGGAATTTCACCTTCCTCTGGTAATTTATTTGTATCAACAAACAGTTGAGCCATAACTAAAGCGAAGAATGTGAAAAAACACGACCGATTTGGTCGCCGAAAAAAGGAAACTGACATCTTTAACACGTGGCGGAAGTAAGGGGAGTTAACTGAAGAGCTTACTTCCGGTGTTAATAGTTTAGCGAATTGTGAGAAATTAACGGAAGGAATCCATATGGTACTGTCGGGTAAGTTTATTTACGAAATGAAATCTAACTAATTTAACTAAGTGGACAAATAGGAAGTGGATGAGCGACAGACCTGAAATTAAATCCAAGGTATGGGACCATATGTCTAAGCTGTATGCCAAATATCAAGAGGCTGTGATTTGTAGTCGCTGCAAAAAACTGTTACAAAAATATTTTCCCTGCCCACCTGCCTGCCTGCCCGTCGCCCCGACATTCACCATACTATAACCGGATTTGCACCAGTGCAACCCAGCCAATAATCACTATTTTGCATTGTTTTTTTTCCATCAAAACCGATTTCAAAGTGCTGCAACATCTCAATGAATTGAGATAGAGTAAAAGGCTTTTCAGCGTCAGTTACTAGTTACCTTAAGATCGACCTGAGACCATTTTTAGCCTGTCACATGTCCAAAATTTTCTTGGCACTGAGGGGGACTCCTCCCCTTCAAACCCCCCAAACAGAAGGGGGCCCCCTTCTGGCAACCCCCTGATGTAACATTTGGATGGGGGACAGCGCCAAAAAAAGTGGTCACTTTTTTTAACAAACATTTCTCAAACGAAAACCAGTGTTTGGGGCCTAAATAGGACATTTTTACCCTGTTTGGAAAAGGGGGTGGGGCAAAAAGCCGTCGAGACACGCTTATATGAGGGAAAAGGTTAAAAGAATAATTTTTTGGTTTTTACTATACCCATATAGGGAAAACAATGACCCCTCCCCCATAGGAGGGCCAATTTTAACCTCAGGGCTTTTATTTGAACAAACTTGGTAGACAATCATTAGAAGATATTTCATGCTTAGTATCTAAACTCTAGCTCTTTGGGTTTTTTAAAAGAAGATTCTTTTAGTTCTTACTATACACATGAGGAAAATTAATGACCCCAAGGCAGGGGCAATTTTAACCAAAGGGCCTTTATTTGAACAAACTTGGTAGACACCCATTAGAAGATGTTGCATGCTAAATATTAAGGGGGTAACAATACGCTCACCTCACGATAAATTGTCTGTAATTCATTTAAACTATGTATTATGCAAATTTATTTAAAGTTGTGATGTAACAACATGTTTTCTATTAACATTTTAATAGTGAAAGTAAAAGGCTAAAAGCTTTAATATTTTCTGAAGCTTTAAGAAGTAAAATACCTAAAATAAAAATAACAAGAGGGCCATGATGGCCCTGAGGTCGCTCACTTTTACTATATGCATATAGGGAAAATCAATGACCCCCTGGGTCGGGGCCAATTTTGACCCCAGGGCTTTTATTTGAACAAACTTGGTAGACATTCACTAGGAGATGTTTCATGCTAAATATCTAAGCTCTAGCTCTTACGGTTCTTTAAAAGAAGATTTTTTAAGTTTTTACTATATGCATATAGGGAAAATCAATGACCCCCAGGGGCGGGGCCAATTTTGACCCCAGGGCTTTTATTTGAACAAACTTGGTAGACAGTCACTAGAAGATGTTTCATGCCAAATATCTAAGCTCTAGCTCTTATGATTTTTTAAAAGAAGATATTTAAAGTTTTTTCTTTTGGTTGCCATGGCAACCAGAGTTCTGCATGGAATTAAATTCTTTGAACAATTTTTAAAGGTGACCACCAAAGGAACATTCCTGTGAAGTTTGGATGAAATTGGCTCAGTGGTTTATGAGGAGATGTCATTTAAAGCAAAAGTTTACGGACGGACGGACGACGGACGGACGAACGACGGACGAAAAGCAATCACAAAAGGTCACCCTGTCACTTTGTGACAGGTGAGCTAAAAATAAAATTTGAAATGTTCAACAGTTAGATGTTCTGGATGAGCCAATTTGCGCACTACATGTAATAATGAGCATAAGCTGAACACAAAAATTGTTATTTACTTTACTCACTTAAAACACATTCATAATGGTTATAACGTATTTACTAACAGTTACATATATCCATTGACAATATGGAACAGTATGGAAAATATCCAACAAAATAGCATAATAGCCAAAACTCTACACAACTAGCCGTCTATTGCAGTGTTTTGACAATATTTTGGATTCAAAAATGTGGGGTTTATTTGCAAATGTGTCAAGATATCGTATTTCAGCTTGCCAAAAAGTGTTTCCAACAAGAGCTGTCGGTAGGACAGCAACGCTCGACTATTCTTAGAGCTTGATAGTAAGAAAGCCTTGATAATGTAAAATTTCCTAAGTTAACAAAAGGGAAATTTTTTTTCTTTAAATTCATGTTACAGTTATAGGCCTTGGAGAGAGTCCTATTATGCTCTCAAAGAGTATAAAATTTCATCTTGTTTCAAAGCTATATGTCAATGGACTCTTTTTTGAGGTATTACAAAAACTTTAACGAAAATTTTAAGTCGAAAAAGGAGCATTATTCAGTCAAAATGCATGATAGAGTTACCTCCTCCTGTCTACAGGTTAGGGTCATGATGGTGAACAAGTGTGCAAAGTTTCAAAGCCATATGTCAATGGACTTTGAAAATATTTGATGTATTACAAAAACTTTAACGTAAATTTTAAGTCGAAAAAGGGGCATAATTCTGTCAAAATGGTTGACGCAGTTACCTACCCCTGTCTACAGGTTGGGGTCATGATGGTGAACAAGTGTGCAAAGTTTCAAAGCCATACGTCAATGGACTTTAACAAGAGCTGTTGGTAGGACAGCAACGCTCAACTATTCTTAGTGCTTGATGGTGAAAAAAATGCTTGATACAGTTACCTCCTCCTGTTTACAGGTTGGGGCAATGATGGTGAACAAGTGTGCAAAGTTTCACAGCCATATGTCAATGGACTATGAAAATATTTGAGGTATTACAAAAACTTTAATATAAATTTTAAGTTGAAAAATGGGAATAATTATGTCAAAATGCTTGATACAGTTATCTCCTCCTGTCTACAGGTTGGGGTCCTGATGGTGAACAAGTGTGCAAAGTTTCAAAGCCATATGTCAATGGACTTTGAAAATATTTGAGGTGTTACAAAAACTTTAACATAAGTGGTTATACGACGCGGACGCCGATGCTCAGGTGACTGCAATAGCTCTTCTTATTCTTATCGAATTGTCGAGCTAAAAATATTTGAGGTATTACAAAAACTTTAACATAAATTCTAAGTCGAAAAAGGGGCATAATTCTGTCAAAATGCTTGATACGGTTACCCCCCCCCCCCCCCCTCAAAGCCATATGTCAATGGACTTTGAAAATATTTGAGGTGTTACAAAAACTTTAACATAAGTGGTTATAATACGACGCGGACGCCGATGCTCAGGTGACTGCAATAGCTCTTCTTATTCTTATCGAATATCTTCTTATTCAAAAATAACAATGTCAGAAAAATAAATTCAGCACACTGAAATAGCAGTCAAAGAAGACAGTTTCCTGATTATATCCAAAATGCTTCTATTATTTTGACTAAAAAGACACTAACCCTGATTTAAATTCATCTTCAGCAATTTTACTGAAATAATTGCTCCCCTTGAAAATGGTTTCAAATGCAGTACCGTACCGTACAGGTGATTTGCCGTACCGTGAACCGTACCAAGTGTAAACCGTAGGGTATACTGCAAGTTACACCCTTACTAAATATCTTAGCCCTAGCTCTTTAGCGTTTCAAATAGAAGATTTTTTTAAGTTTTTACTATATACAAATAAGGAAAATCAATGCCAGGATTAAATTCTTTGAACAATTTTCAAAGTTGACTAAGTTGACAAAGAAACATTCCTATGAAGATTGGATGAATTGGCTCAGTAGCTTATGAGGAGATGTTGTTTAAAGTAAAAGTTAACGGACGGACGGCGGATGAAAAGCTATCACAAAAGCTCACCATGTCACTATGTGACGGACGATGGACGAAGATCAATGGGCCATCACAAAAG